TCTCCTTCTCCGCTTCTCATCCTCTTCCTTCTCATTTTGGGCTATATGGAGATTGAACATTCCTTCAGATTGGTTAAACAATTTTCCTCTTCTTGATCAATTTCCCACATCATGCTTGAAGAAGATGACATTGTAAGTAGAAACTGTGAATAATGAAACAAATTTTGATTTGGTGAAGAAGGAAGCAAAAACTATGAATAATGATAGAGATATTGAGAAAATTGGTGTGAGATTTAAAAGCATGGATGATGGATTATATGGAGGATTCTGAAATGATTAGGTTGTAGATAGTGTCACGTGGCATGCCGTCATTCGTTAAAAATCTGATCGAAATCTATTCTAAAAGATTCTGAAAAGATAACGACACGTGGCACAATGACATTGGATAAAAATCTTATCGAAATCCATCACCAATAATTATATTTTCGAATAATGACACATAATGCAACAAGAACAATTTAAAATCTAATCGAAATCTATCCTCAAAGATTCTGAAAAGATAACGACACGTGGCACGATGACATTGGATAAAAATCTTATCGAAATCTATGAACAATAATAGTCGTTTTGGGTAAATGACACGTGGCGCAACGAGAACGATTTAAAATATCTTATCCGAAATTACAAAAAAATTATTTAGTATTATTTTGTAAAAAAAAAAATTAATAAATATTTTATTGCCGATTGTCAGGGCTATTCAAGTGCAAGGGTGGAGATGCAAAAGGCAGTTACTGTTCATTATGGCAGTTACTGTTTACAGGGTGGTTTGAATAGTGGATTGCCTGGGGGAGGGCTCTAAGGGTGGAGTTGCTCTTAGTCCCTTAGTATTACAGTATGATGATATTATCTTCACTTGTAAGTTAGAGGTCTTAGGTTCGAATTTTGTAGATAGCGAATTCGATACTAAATTAGATTGTCCATTGTATAACTTAGCAGAACTGACCCCCCTCCAAAAATAATAAAATAAAGTGGCCTGTTGTGGATGATGAAATTTCTCCTTCGGGTTTACGTTAGCACCTCTCTCCTGCACAATGCACAATAAAACCTAATACATATTTTGGTGTTCCTTTTGGCATAACATTATTATTGTTCTTTTAAGTAGTCTTCCTGGGCATGTGATGTGAGATGAGTCATTAATTATTCAACTAATTAATGAATTAATAAGATTAATTTAAAAAAAAAGCAAAAGAAATAAAAGTTTTAAAAGGTCATTGATAGCACTGTTGTAAAAGAAGACCTACTTGGCTGCTGTCACTGACAGCTGACCACTAAAGAAAAAGAAACCAATTTGAATATATCCCCGATATTATGATAAATTGGGATCTTGTCTTGTGATCCAACTGGCTTGACTAGCGTTGCTGGTTTTCTGAATAAAATATATATGCATCCCACTAAAAGATAAAAGTAAATTATAGGGGAAAGTGACATGTCGCCAAACCCTTGTCAGAATGCTGCTCGCGCTGTCCCATAGCCTACGTGAAAGCCACTATGAGTAGATAGGGTTTATTTTTATTTTTATTTTTATTTTATTTTTTATTTTATTTTATTTTTTTATTTTACGTTAAGAGAATTTAAATTTTAAAATTTATGTAATAAATAAACATAAATTTTAAAATTTAAAAGCGTTCAAAAATGCCATCTGCCTGTCAAGGTCAAGGGGTCAACTGAACATCTTAGCATCATAGGCCATGCTGCCCTCCCTGAACAAATAGGAGGCATGTCCACAAGCCGCACATTAGAATAGGATGTGAACCCTACCACCACTTAAGGGTGTTGAGGAAAATGCACTTTTAGGACGCGTTTACTTAACCGTAATTAAAATAGAGGAATTAGATTGAGGAGAAATTGAATTGAGGAGTCAGAATCAAATTTTTGTTGAAGTTGTTTACTTAAATGTTCTGGAATCAGAGTAAAAATGAAACGAAATTCATATAAGTTGTTTACTTATTCATATGAATCGGAATGAAAATCAATATGATTACTAAAATGCCCTTATTATTTTTGTTTTATTTCTTGCCCATATTACATTTTCACAAAATATCATTATGTAAACCTTCATCTATCTTCTGTATCTTCACCAGCATAAGATAAAAACTCCTCCCTCCCCCTTTCCCCCTCGCTTTCATCTTTCCCACTCACCCTACCCCATAATCACCACCCCAGTAGAAAGAGCCCATTTCCGGATCTCACTCTCACCCTCATTTCTCTTTCTTTTCGGATTGATTCGCACTCTATGCAATTCAAATGGAAATTGCGTGATTTTTTTTGAAATAATTAAAAGGGTTTGTTGCTTGATCGATTTGCTGAAGTGGGTCGCTCTCACTTGCTGTCGACGATGAAGGTGACCGTAGTTTCGTGGAGTGGCCAAGAAGTTGTCATTGGCAGAGAGCTGCTGGAGAGGATGGCGGAGGACAACGAGAAGATGGAAAGGAGTATTGAATGTGAGGGGCATTTTGGGAAGGAAAATTTGATACAGGATGGAGCCTTCTCTCTGGAATCAAAATACCACCTTTGTCTACTTAAGTCAATTTCGGCAATATCAGGAATTGAAATACTGATTTTACAAGGGGGCCTGCAAAACTGTGCATTCCGTTTAAGTTGGTAAACGGAAGAATAACCAGAATTGGAGAATGACTCCTATTCCGTCATATCCTTTCCCCATATGTAAACACGCCATTAATGTTTCTAGGGTTTCATTAGAATTTTCTTTTCCTTGTATGGATGCATGGTTTGATTGTACATAATTGTGTTTACCTTTGATCTGTTGTCACAGAATAATATATAATCATGTGTTGTACATCACGACTGAGAGAGACATATGAATAATTATATAAAATTGATTTCAACTTGTATGCCAGATGTGACACCCAATTAATCTCTTTAGATCTTTCCTTAAAAATTTGAAATACTTATAGTTTTCTAACTTCATTTATCTACCCTAGATGTTGGTTGAGTGTGGATTACAATATGAGCATGACTACGTAGCCTCGCTTGCTTGATATGTTTACTGATGAAGAACAATTTATATATAATGGGTTCACTTTATGTGGCGTTTCAATAAAATAATACATTATCACGTAGAGAAAAATTTGTACTTGACAATGCCTTATTGAGTACAGGACACTACGCGACTATAAACTTGTTCTATGTAAATCATTTTCCTACTGATATGCAAAGCAAGGCAAAGACTCCACTAGTTAAATATTCAATTACACCTCACCTAATTAGGGGTGGGCACTTAGAAACTGAAAACCGAAATCAAAACACAAAATAAATTGAACCACACCAAACGGTTTGGTTTTTGCGGTTTTAAAATTGAACCGCAGTCTAGACAAACAGTTTGGTTTCAGCTTTGAGCATATGAAACCGCACTAAAATCGAACCAGATTGCAAAAATTAAATAACTATTAATTTAATACTAAAATTAGATGTTGGGTTCTAATTAGTTATTTGGTTGAATCCATATTACTATTAGTCGTAGTATTGGCAAGGTTCGTTGTATGTTATGATTCAAGTTCTTCTGTCATGTATTTGGTATACTTACGTAGGTTTTAATCTGGCTCGAACATCTGCATCTCAAGTTAGCATTATGTTATATTTTCCTGACCCTACACTTAATACTAAAATAATGTTATAAGGTGTTTTGATGTCGAACTTTATATCAAATTGATTTTTAGTATGGTGGTCAAGGATTTTTTTTTTTTTTTAATTTGAGTTGTTATTAATGTCATAGAGCATTTAGTTTACAAATGGTTTGAAACCGAAACTAAAATCGTTTGAAACCGAATTAAACTAAAACCATTTGAAACTGAATTGCAACAAATGGTTTGGTTCCATTTCGAGTTTAGCTCCAAAACCGCACTGATCCAATTCACAAAAAAAATTCAGTTTTGATTTGGTTTCACTCAAAACCGTACTTGTGATAGCCCGTTCCAAAGATATGTATTATTTTATCCTCGAGAGCGTGGAAATTACTATATTGCCCTTGAGCGTTGGGTTGTGATTGTGTGAAATGAACTTAGGTTGTGGACCAATTCATTTTCTTCCTAAGTTGTTGGACCCAATTGGAAGTTAGATTGTTTTGTTTGTTTTGTTGGGTTGCAACCTGGACCACACACTCACACTCTCCTGTTGACTCTCTCTTTCATTCCCTCTCGGACTTATTTCCATTTCCGTACAATTGTACGAACAACTTCCAAACCAACCCTTAAGTCACGGATCGAGGTTGTGGACGTGATTTTTGGGTTCCTTGCAAGCTCAGGATCACAATCGTACCTTTGGTTGGACGTGAGGACTTCGAAAAACACGAGAACCCATAACCTCTGACGAGGGCTTTGTTGCTCAGTGGCGATTGTGTATTTTTCACGGCATTTTGAGGCTTGAAGAAGTCTTATAACTACTTTATGAAGCTCTGGGAGCAATTTTGGAAAGTTTTGAACGTCGAATTACACGGGTTTGGGAAGTTGCAGGTTTAGCAGGAATAGAGAAGGAATTTCCAACCACTTATTGTGGTTTTTAGGATCTTTGAAAGATAAGAATGTGTTCTACTTGTTTAGAGCTTCATTTTGAGACAAATTTCATGAAGTTTGGTTGACAATTGGATGAGATATTAAGGTTTGAAGTTTTTCCAGTTTCCGGCGGTCGCAACAGTGGTAGACGCGGGACTTCGGCGAACCAAGCAAGGAGAAGGAGCATATTTTGTCAATTTTGGCGGAATATTCTCAACGCTGTCAGGTAAATATAACGGCATATGCTTATATTTAACGGAATATTCCCTAACGCCATTAGGGAATCCGTCAGTGTGCCAGGCACATGCCTGCACGTAGTGGCGAAGCCAGGAATTATCGAGGGGAGGGGCGAAATTTAAAAGGATAAAAGATCCCAAAAAATTTAGACAACCAAATCCTTATAAAGAATGAACAATATTAATTTTGTTCAATACAAATTTAGACAACCAAATCCTTTTTATATACTATTTACAAACCAATAGACATTATCGATGAACTTCTAATTTGGAAACCCATTTGATAGAGAATTCAGTAGCAACAAAAAATAGCTAGGACATCAGCTTCCTCTTAAATATAACCTCTCTCTTACCAAAAACAAATGGACTATCAAAATATCAACAAGTTGTAGATGTCCCAATAACATAAGGCTCCAGTAATAACCGAGTAAAGAAGTAAAAAATGACACCCAAGATGATAGATATTGGCAAAGCTCGATGGTACACTGACCACAAAATAAGAGTGCACTATGAGTCCCAAAATAATGGCAAGATAATAGGCATACATAGTCATAATGTCATGCATTGCAGCTCTGCGCACAAGAACACCGTAGAAAACGAAATCCCTTAGACCAAGTTTAATACCTTTGTACTGAACATTTTGCTACCTCCCCTTCATCTCTATTACCCTCACTTTCCTCGTTCGCCACCTCAACATCAACAATGGTATACTCAGAATTACCGCCATATCATTCTCATTTTCATTCACATTGCCCCTGGGGACTAATTCGTCAGATAATTCTTTGAGGCATTAAAACAAACACATGGAGTGTATAAAGACAAGCAAAAAGCAATACGAGAGGCAGATGGAGGAAGACTATCAAACACCTAGAGATAGGTGGAGGAAGACAATCAAACTCTGCCAATGGCCCACTCCTAGTTCCATTGTTCGAAAGCAAATCATCAAACGCCTAGGGTTTCAATATTAACCGATCAATCAGGCAATTGGGAATCCCCAAGTGAACAAAAAAAAAATCAAATCTTTCAACCCGAAATCGTACATGAAACACAAAATTCAAATACCCAAAAAACCCATTTGCTAAAAAACGAATTGAATTGGAAAAGAACGAACCTTTGAGTGTTTGGGTTGGGAGGAGGGGAGGCGTATAGGGCGCTGTTATGTGCTCTAATTTGTTCTGGAAATAGGAAAACGAGGTGAAGAGGTAACGGGCTAAAAGCTCAAACGACGTCGTCCCATTTACTTTTTTTAAAATCACCAAACGAGACGGCGTCGTTTTTGCTAAAGGATTTTAAAAAAAAAAAATTATAACACTCTTGCTGCGCAGCAGCAGAAACCCAGAAAACCAGAGATTGGGCTGAGCAACCATAATTTCCGACGGGACCAGAGGGGCGGAACCACCGCTCCTAGGCTTGATTTCTGGCGAGGGGAGGGGCGACCGCCCCTCCTTGCTCCTCTGTAGCTTCGCCACTGCCTGCACGTGGGCGGCGCGTCTGGCCGTGCCTTGGCCAGCACATGAGGGCGCGTGGGTGATCGGAAAAGTTTTCTAAAAATATGGGGATGTTCATGAGGTTGAGTAGATCGCGTTGGTATATTCGAATACCCAAATTGAGCATCGTATGAGAAGTTATTACCTAGTTTTGTTTATGTGATTTAAAATAACATTTAAATAGTTGTTTCGCATATAGGTGAGACCTATCCAGAGAAAAAGCGCAGTCAAGCAAGGCTCGGGGGTTACGACTCTTCTACATATTAGTGAGTGGGCTTTTGGTTTTCAGCAAGGCTCAGGGGTTATGACCCTTCTTTATATCAATGAGTGGGCTTTTGGTTTTCAGTATATATATATACATGTCAAATGCTCTCTATGTTTAATTGTGCATTAGTATAGCTATATATATTTTGTTGCTCGATGCTGCGGATGCTCAGGTAAACTTCAGGTGAGTATGTTGATGGTAGTGATGGTAGTGAGTATAATAGTGCTGAGATATATTTCGAACTTGTTATCCTGCACCCCGGTGTTAGTGCTTCGCCAGAGGACAGGGCCTAGTCTTCACGTGTGTTGGAAATGTGCCCTAAAACCAATCATGTGATGATACTTTACGGACATTTCACATGTTAAACTAATCTAGTTTAATATCAAGGGCAAAGATTATTGTTTTAAGCCGTCTCATATAAATGTTATATGCTTAAACGATAAGTCCAAGGAATATGTAATTAGGAGAATGTAATTTAAACAAGTTAGATTTATGAGACCATTCTCTTTCGTATACATATCCTAAACATTCTTGATCATAGGATTGCCAATTGGGCATTGACAGTCCGTTAAGATCAGTACGTGCTGTGTCTTCTCTCATGGAGAGTGACTGGTCTCGAGTCATTGGTGTGATTGACACCAAGACAAGCATGTAGGTGCTCAATAGCGAATGAGTCCATTGAACACGATCAACGAAGAGTTCTCATACTCATGTCACATGAGAACTCATGGTTGGGATAATGCAAAGTAGTCATTTGACATGAGGCATCATAGTTGTCTTGTGGTTAGGTACTTGATCTTTGATTATGTCAAAGTCACTCCATTCGCGGGTGTCCACAGCATAGTTGGGGTTAAGCCACTTAGCCATGGAGGCAAGTGAATGCGCAACAAGGGATCTCTAACCTTCAAACCGTTTGAGGGAGAATACTCTATGATATGATTAAGAATTTTGGCTAGAGTATGAATGAGATTTAGGAAGTCATTCCAAATCACATTCAAGGTAATCATATAAGTAAATGAATCACATTGGATAGTAGACATGAATAAACTATCAATCCAAACAATGTGATCAAGAGTATTGTATTAGAGAAAGACCGTATTGCATTGTAATCCTAAACTGAATAGGTTATCCACCTCTTCTGATTAGCTTGGGTAACCATGACATACTGCTAGGTGTCACTCATGGTTTGTGGAAGCCCTAAACGTGTATAATCACTAAAGGGAGAATTGAAAGTAAGTTTCAATTCACAATCGATTTGAAAGAGTTCTAATCACCCACTGCCTCGCTAAAAGGAACCTAATGGATCGTACACTGTGTAAGGTAGAGATTGAAGAAACAACGGAGATGAGTAAGGATAATTAAATGGTTTAATTATTTATTTATGGCAAGGATTAATTAATATGTTAATTAATCAAACGAATAAAGTTCGTTAAAAGACCACGGGTTAGTTTTGGGGCTCAAGGCCCAATGGGCTTCGAACGTCAAGCCCATTGACTTAAGTTGTATGACAACTTAATGACAAATAATTCACAAAGGCCTAAAAAGCCCAATGAAACCCTATGGCCGGCCATATTGATAAAGGAGTGGGTTTTGGACTTAATTACAAGTTTGCCACTCCAATGAATGTAGGTATAAATATGACTTTATAGCCAAAATTCATTTAGGGTTTTTTTTGGAGAAAAGATGAGAACATAAACTCTTTTTCTCTCTAAAGAGGCTGGCCACCCTAGAGGAAAATAGCTAGTAATCTTACTTCCTCTAGGTCACTCATTTCTTCCAAAGATCTTACCTTGGTATGGAGACTTAGAGGTTCTCAATTTTGAGAACTTGGAGAAACCTATTCTTCCATCCAAATCCATGGATCTAAGAAGCAAGGAATGAAGGCTCTATCTCTTGGGTGATTATCCTTTGCTTATGCAAAGAGGAATCAACAAAGGTATAATTTCTCAACTCACTTTGTTTTGAGTTGAGTCTTGGTTCACCTAACTACTAGGCTTTGAATTTAATGGGTAATGTTTTGTTTTGAGTGCATGCAAGCATGATTCCGCCTTTAGTTTGTTAATTGCATGCTATAGATGTTGCTCAAATGAACATGTTTTTCACAAAATTTCCTTCAAGTGGTATCAGAGCCTAGGTCTAGTAGTTGGTGAATCCTTTTGGGTTTTGTAGTTCATAGTCTTTGATTTAAATGTTGTAATATGTTACAAGCTTTATTCTTGTTTCTTTGAATGTAAATTTTGTTGGAAAATTTGCCATCTCAAATGTTGTAGATGTAGTTCATATGAGCATGAATATTGGAGCTAAAATTTGGTGCCATGTTTTTGGGAAAATTCGGCCAAATCCAAAGGGTGGATTTTTGGGTTCATGTTTGACTTGTTAAAAGTGTTTTCAAGTAACTTTTGGAACCCCTATGTACCCTAGTTTGGTTATATATTATTTCCCTTAAGTTTGAGTGGTTTTGGGATGTCTTTGGGTGAAAAATGTTCATGGAGATTTTTTGAGTTTTTCATGAATGTTCTTTATTGTTCTTGATATTTTAGCCAAGAACAAAAAGGTTTGGTGTTTTGATTCAAAGTTTTGATTTATTTCATAAAGTTTTTGTTTTGTGCTTTTCAAATGTTTAAATGTGTTAGATATTTATTTAGAAAGGTGATAGAAATATTGATGGGTGTGTAAGGATTAATTCCCTTTCACACACACCACTTGCATTACTTTTGTGTCATGCACCTCTTACATGACTTTATGTCAAAACTACAAATCAACACACACATCACTCCCTTTAATATCTAAAACCGGCCACCCTATTAAAATAGGGTACTTTTGGGGCTTTTATGCAATTACATAAAGTTTTGATACTTTTGTGTATTTGCACTTTGGCCCAAAAGTTTACGTTTTTACTTTTAGGTCCAAAAACGCTAAAGGACAAATTGTTTTGCTCCTTTAATGAAGTTTTTGTATTTGTTGAAATTTTTGGGTTCTAGTTGTAATTACATGAAGTAGTGGACTTTTGTGTTTTTACAAAGTGACCCCAAAAGTTTATGTTTTTGCAATATAGCCCAAAAAGTTGTGGTAATTGCATTTTGGCCCAAATTAGGTTGAGAACAAAATTGTTTTGTCTCTTTAAATGAGAATTGGATTTTCATTTCATTTAGCTCCATTTAAATCAATTTTATGGATACAAAAACCAAATGACAATGTTGCATTCAAAGTTTAATTAGTTAAAGCGTTAATTAATTAAAGGGTGATTATGAACCTAAGCCTACGATAATTGAGCTATGTGAAAGGCCGTTTCAAATTTGTTTGAACCATGGGAATGTGTAGATTAGATTTTGGTTGTAATTTGATATGATCAAATGTTGTAAAAGAGCATAAGCTCTTCTTTACTTTAAAGTAATTTGTTTTGATCAAATGTTGTAAAAGAGCATAAGCTCTTCTTTACTTTGAAGTATTAATTTCTTGTTTTATTTGATATGCATGAAAAATGGAGTAGCGGGTCCAATGCCCAATAAGACAACACGCCTTAATGTGATTAAACGCGTAACTAAAATCAATCACCATCCCTAGACCGAGATTCAACACTAGGCTCGTGTTGGATCTAAATCAAAGGTTCATAGTTCATCCTAAGGCCCTTAAGGCAACTATATAGTCCATCAATGAATGCAAACCTTATGTTAGTAGTACCATATACTCTTGCTTTAAAAACCGTTTTATAAGCATAGTGGGAGTATCATGTACAACTAAATCAATCACATGGACCAATAGTTGTAATAGGACCAAATTGTTTTAATAAGATTAAAATGCATGCTTATATGTGATGAGACCTAAAACCCTCAACCAAACCAATATTAAGTTGATAAGCGTGAGAGTGCTTTGAACACTCTTTCGTGGCCTTCCACCGTGGTGGGCTCCAATCGTTTGTGACTCATACACCGGCTTCACCCTATAATGGGGAAGTTACAAAGTATGTGCTTACACTCAGGAGGAGTTCCTATAACATATATGATGAAGTGAAGTGTAGGCAACGAGTATGACCAACATGATATAATTCTGAGGTTGTGCTTGAACCCCTACATCGAACTAGCATGGTGGGAATGACTTAACTAAGTGCAATGGTGCCAAAAAATGATATCATTGTGAGGCAATCATTCTCTAGAGGCCAAAAAACAAGATGGGTAATTGCAAAAGTTGCAAATGAGTAAGCGTTACTCTCTCATTATTATTGTTGCTAGCCAACATGATATAATTCTGAGGTGGGCTTGGTAATGATGAGTCTCCCATACCCTACTAAGAGTTTCCTCCAAAACTCTCGAATTCCGATGAGGGATATGGAATTTGCCAAAAATAGTGGGTGGTGCTATTTGATTTAAAGACCCGAATCAAATGGCTTCAAATCAATCAATTTATATTCGTTATGTATTTGTTTACCAATATATTTTGCAAACGCTATCCAAAACTTGACAAAGAAAAAGCCGAATGCTTTAGTTTCCGGACTTGGTACCACAATCCCAAAGATTGTCTTAAA